CTTCCTTCCTTCCTTCCTTCCTTCCTTCCTTCCTTCCTTCCTTCCTTCCTTCCTTCCTTCCTTCTCTCCCTCCCTCTCTTCCTCCCTCCCTCCCTCACTCCTTCCTTTCTTTCTTTTTTGAGACAGGGTCTCTCTATGCAACCCTACAGGCCTGGAACTCACTATGTAGACCAGGCTGGCCTGGAACTCACAGAGATCCACCTGCCCCTGCCTCTGAAGTGCTGGGATTAAAGGCATGGCCATCACACCCAGTCTCAATGCTCCTCTACTGTTGTGACTGGGCCCTTGGAGTCTCCTCTCTGCACTGCCAGTTTCTAGTCATTGTTCATTTTATAGAAGCTTTTTACAACATGGGCTGCTGATTCTGTAGCAGGCACGTGGGTTGAACCATCAGTATGAGTACGCTGTGGCTGCTGGTCATCCTGTGTACCATCAGCCGCAGGCTCCAGCTTCTTTTGAGTGACATTTCCCCTAACCGAGGAGAAGCTTCCAATGTTGCCAGCCTGGATGGGGAAGGTTTATCTCATTAGGCCCCAGTTCCTTGAGCTGCGGCTACAGGAGAAGGGTGTGCCTTCTGGGTGCACAAGTTACTACGGGGCACTGCCCCAGTTTCTCTTCTGCAGCTGCGAGAAACACGACGACTAAAAGTAACTTAGTGAGGAAAGAGGTTTTTCCATCTAATACTTCCAAGTCATAGTCCATCGTTGAGCAAAGTCAAGGCAGGAACCACGGAGGAATGCTCCTTTCTGGCTGATTCCTGGGCTCACGTTAAGCTACCTTTGGTATAGAGACCAGGTACACCTGCCTCGGGATGGTACCGCTCACCGTGGGTTGGGCCCTCCTACATCAATCAGCAATCAAGAAAATGTCCCCCACAGACATGCAGACAGGCAAATCTGATGGAGGGGACTCTTCAGTTGAAGACCCCTTCCTCAGAGGGCATGGCCCTGGATAGCTTGCTAGACTTCAACCCCATGTACCCTTCCATCTGACACTCTTACATTAGTGAACAGCCTGAACTGACACATGGGTCACCCCCTTCAGGATCTCACTTTTATGCAGACATATTGATGCTCATTCCTCAGTTTCCTTCGGCTTAGGATCTGTCTGTTGACACTGGGAAGCAGCTGAAGCTCCACTTTCTCCCAGTTAAGGCTCGGGCATTAGCCTCTGGCCTATGATGGGACCACGCTAGGCTCCACTGCACATTCACCCATAAGCTCATGGCATTCTGTCCAAGGTTATCTCGCTTTGGAGAGGAAAGGAAGGGGGTCCCTGGAAACAGCTTTGCCACGTTGCTAGTTGTGTGCAAGCTGGTACCTTCACACCTACGGAGTAGCGTGGATGTGAGGACAGACATCCCTTTGGGGACTGGTTCTCATTGGTGGCACCAGTTCCTCTGAGAAGGCATCATGTCCTCATGACAGATTTTGTGGGTTTCCAGTCTGCATATGGAGACACTGAGGAGGAGGTTGGAGAGCGTTGAAGGTGCTCAGGGGTGTGGCATGCGGTAAAGCCCAGTGTGGGGTGGTCAGGTTGCTGCTCCCCCACCCAGCCCCGATGTGGTCCACACGTGCCTCGAGCACAACTGTCCTGTCCACCCACCCCATCACAGGTAGAAACACATCCCTGGGCGATCCTTTTTCACGGTTAGTCTTTCAAGACGGAGCATCCAACTCAGTAGGCCATGGACATGATAAGGAATCTGACCTGTCAGAGACCCAGGTGAGGGCCCGCAATGGACTCCTCACTAGAAGATAATATGTCCCTGATACTGTGTTGGTTCCCACAGGTAGTAGGAGTAATAGCATGGTTGGGGGCCCAACCTCCACACAGCGTGATTGACTATGAGGAGCAGAGGACGGTGGACCCGGAACAGGCCAGAGGTGTGCTCAAGTGTGACATGTCTGATCTATCCCTCATTGGATGCCTGGGCTACAGTCTCCTGCTCATGGTCACGTGTACAGTGTATGCCATCAAGGCCCGAGGTGTGCCTGAGACCTTCAATGAGGCCAAACCCATCGGCTTTACCATGTATACCACCTGTATTATCTGGCTGGCTTTTGTTCCCATCTTCTTTGGCACAGCCCAGTCAGCTGAGAAGGTAACTGAGTGCCCCAGCAGGCTTTTTCTGCCCATCCCTCCACCCCCTACTGAAGGGCTCTACTGTCCAGGAGCTGGACCACCCATCCTGATGCCTCATTAGAATGATTGTGGGTGGGATGCACTCGTTTGTCTCTCTTATAGCCCCTGAGTCTGTCCATTCATTCTTCTCTCTCTGCACTCACGAGCCTGAGTCTGTTCATCCATTCTTCTCTCCCTTGTCTATTCTCTCGTTTCTATATTTGAAAACATGTTCATTCATTTGCTCATTAATAAATTCTGCCTCTTTAGGAGTGGGAGTCTTTGCCCAAGTGCCACCCTCTTCATTTTTTTTTTTTTTTTGGAATTCGAAAATCTTTTTTTTTTCTTGCATATGCCTGCTGGTGTATATGTATAGCATATACATGCAGGCACCCTTGGAGGCCAAAAAAGGATATAGGGTCCCCTAGAACTGGGGTTATGAGTTATGGGTGGTTGTAGGCTGCCTAGTGTTGAACTGAACCCATATACTCCACAAGAGCAGCATGTCTTCCTAAACCACTAAGCTATCTCTTAGCCCCTCTTCCTTTTTTAAAGGGAATTTTAAAATGTTTATTCTCTCTCTCTCTCTCTCTCTCTCTCTCTCTCTCTTTTTCTCTCTCTCTCTCTCTGTATGTGTGTGTATGTGTGCGTGTGCGTGTTGTATGAGCACATGCACATGTACCACAGTACAAATTGCGTAGATTATAGGACAACTTTTGGAGAATCAGTTCTCTTCTATCCAACTTGGATTTACAGGCTTGACGGATGGCAAGTGCTTGTACCACTAAGCCACCTCTCAAGTCGGCTCTCTTCCTTAATAGCCCACTCAGTCTGTGTCACTCTGAAAGACCCCTGCCAGGCCTAGCTGCTGTAATGCCATTTTATAAGCAAGGCTTGAACCAAGAACTAGGGGCTCATACTAAGGTCTTGGGGCTCATAATAAGGTCACAGATGACATTGTCAAGTCTGTATAAACAGGATACCTGTGGTTAGACACCAGGAGTTATGCCACCCGCATGAGAAAGATTAAGGGGGAGGAACGGAAAGTCCCCAAGCTGCCAGGCACCCAGCGGAGGGAGAGCCAACCCCCTGTCTCAGGCATGACCTCATGGCCTCATTAAAATTGACCAATGAGACCCCTGTAACTAGGCATCTGCTTCTGTACGCCTGCTTCTGCCTACCCCAACCCCATATAATCTGCCCCAAAACCCAGCCCGGCTTGCTCAGTCCTCCACGTGACTACAGCACCCACAGGCCCTGTGTGAACAATAAAATTGCCTTTTGCTCTTGCATCCAGTGGCTTGGACTTGGTTCTTGGGCGAGGGTCTCCAAGTGTTAAAGACACCCTCTGGGGGGTCTTTCAACTCCACCCGTCTTCCTGCCTACACCAGATCCACACTGTGCCTGATTTTCTCGTGTTAACCTTTCCATTGTTTTCATTCCTGCTCACCTAACAGAAGTAACTCACCTCCAGTCTACAGGCCGTGGGATCTAGAGAAAACAGGGCTAAGCTCACTCTTGTTCCCTCCTTCGTGCTTAGATCTACATCCAAACGACCACACTGACCGTGTCTCTGAGCCTGAGTGCGTCGGTGTCCCTCGGCATGCTCTACGTGCCCAAAACCTACGTCATCCTGTTCCATCCAGAGCAGAATGTGCAGAAGCGGAAGCGCAGCCTCAAGACGACGTCCACGATAGCGGCCCCGCCCAAGAGTGAGAACACAGAGGATGCCAAGTAGCAGGATGGAGTGTGGGTGCCACAGGTAGCTCCCTGCCCTTTCTTTGCTTCTCCTGGCTTCACAGTGGAAGCTGCAAAGGCTCCACAGTGACCACCAGAGGCTGAAAATGTGTGAAGACCACGCCCAGCACGTCTGGACGTGCCTTCAGAAAGAGCTAAATCCTGAGCCATGTTGGACTTCCTCTTTCCTGGGCATACCAACCTCATCATTCGGTCCTTCTTACCCACAATACTCACTTCCAGGTTTCTACCTTAAGACAAAAACTAAACTAATGCCTTCTAGTCAGGCATTCAAAGACCTTGGTGAAGCCAGGGCTTGTCAGGTTGGGGTGAGATTTATCTTAATCCAACAGCATAACCTTGGGGCTGGCCAGGGTGCAACCACCACAAAAGGAAACCTGAGGGTTCTGCATTCATTTTCCTGACACAGAAGATTAGAACCTGTGAGAGTCCTGGGTGCCGGGGTGGGTCTGCAGCAGAGAGAGGGGGCGGACAGGGAACAGGGAAGACTTCTGTGAGGTTGTTTTCCTTTCGCTCTTTCCACAGGGTCATCTACAGAAGTTTGGCAGTGTTTCTTTGCTGTGTATGTTCCAACAAGAAGAAATGCCAACACATTAGTGTGTGAGAGAATGAAGAACAGCTGGGCTTTGTTGGGGGTGGGGGTCCAGGAACAGTCTTGTTTCTGTGGCGAGGATTATTATTATTATGTAGCCCTGGCTGTCCTGAAGCTCACTCTGTAGAATGGGCTGACCTCAAACTCACAGAGGTCCATCTGCCTCTGCCTCTGCCTCTGCCTCTGCCTCCCAAGTGTTGGGATCAAAGGTATGTGTAACCATGCCCAGCTTAATTAAATTATAAGGATGGCTATAAAAGCTCTCCCGTATATGTTCTTGGATTGCCCCTCTCTCTCTCCGAGAGGTGGGCATGAGGCATATGGAGGAAGCTATTGAAATACCATGCATGGGCTTTCATTTTTTTACTAATATTTCTTTTACGGAGCTGGTGTTTAGTTAGGGAATTTTGTTTCCCCTGTCTTTTAAATGTGTTGAGTTAGCTGTTTTAACTCATTGCAAATGCTCCAGTATTTAAGGTACTTAACTAAGGTATTTAACTAATTTTTGAAAGTGAGCTGCACTTCAATAAACAGATGCTCCAAGGTAGTGGGCTTTGACCTCGAGGTACAATACTTTAGCATTCTGAAGACACCGACAAGGCTTATCTTTAGAATATTTCTGCTGTATAGGATTCCCCTTCCTTGCCTCATGTGTTCCCAGTTTTCTCACAATTCAAAGTGTGGTATTGCATATCCTGCAGAAGTCTTTCTGAGGCTTCTACCAAAGCTTCTGTCCTGTTTGAGTCCCTAGTGTGAAATGTGTCCTCTTGAGAGAGCCTTGTCCCTGTGAAATGTGTCCTCTTGAGAGAGCCTTGCCCATGTGACTGATCTCTTCTGGACTCAGTGAGCCACGGTCTGAATAAAGATTGTCCTGTACCGACTGATTTGTGTTTCTCTGTGGTGAGTTCTGACTTCTAGTTGAAAGTTTCTCCACCATTTTTTTTTCTTTTGCCATTCATGTGGTTTCCCTCAGGCTTCGAGTTAGAATGAGTTCTAGTGTTTTCCACTGACTGCACTTCATGGGTTCCTCGCCAGCTGAGGCTACTGACTAGAATCCTAGCCTCCCACCAGAGACCCCACTTCTGGTCCTTGCCCTCTGGTGGGAAGTCCTTAATTCACGATGAGTTCCACCTTCCTCCCAGGGCTCTCATGTGCGTTTGGTCATTGTTTTCTCCATTTCATGACTGACTTTGTGTAGAGTGGCAGAACTTGTCATATTTAATACATCCGTGAGGTTTCTGTCCTTTCTGAATCCTTCATTGTACCCAAGTTGTGACTTAAACAAGAGGCCTCTCGTCTGAAATTCCTCCCCTTGGTTCTTTCATTCTTCCTTTTTGAGCTCACTGGGGGACTGGAAACTCCCCAAGAGTTCCCTTCATAGTTTTGAATGACCAGATATCAGGTCCATCAATCTGAATTCCCCAATAAAGTTTTGTGATTTTTTTTCCTTCACATTTGTGAATCTTACAGGAGATTATGCTAGTATGGTCTTTTTCTCCCTGTGGAATAAAAGCTAGACTGTATCTGAAGGCTTTATCATATCCCCTGCCCTTGAGTTAATTCTCCTGCTACATCTTGTAGGGTCCAGCAGATGTGGCGCTCTGGATCAGAGGCCTAGTCCAGCTTTATTATGATTAGTTTTTCTACCCAGCATGAGCTGCTCAAATCGGAGAAAGATTGCCCCTCGATCAAGCTTCATTCACTGTTCATAACCTTTCCTCCCATGGAACTGAAGCTTGTATGTAAGAGATTTTTTATATTAATAATAGACTTATATTTTCTCAACGGTGTGAAATTTTTGTCACACATATTCTAGTTTTGTCACATGTATGACAAGCTTGCTTCTTGGGAACTTACCCCCAACAATGCATTACACACATTGCTTTTTCATTTTATTGAGTGAATCCTAGTTAACAAATACAACACTCCCCAAATGTTTGGTTTCAGTTTTCTGTTGCTTCTTTGGTTATCAGTTTGCAAAATTTCTTCTAAAATATAATAAAATGTTCAATCGTATATAAATTTCTTCCATCGTCTATTAGAACGAATGATCCTCAGAAACACCTGTAACTGCTTGGCATAGTGGCACATGCTGGAGGCAGGCGAATTGGAGTTCAAAGTCAGCTTCAGCTACATAGTTGGTTCAAGGTCAACCTGGACTACACGAGACCCCTATTTCAACAAACAAAGGAAATCAACAGCAAAAATGAAATACTCTTTATTACTCTGAATGCTTTTATTTCTAAATGTAAAAATTTTCCTAAATAGTTTTCATTTCTTGGGGCTTAGAGGTGGGGGCTGCTTTGAGTATTTAGATGGACAGAAATGAAATGTTGATTGTTTTCATTAGTACTTTGGCAATGAAGTAACTTCATGGGGGGGGGGATCCAACTCCCTCTCCTGGCTTCCACAGGTACCAGACAAGTGCAAGATACACACGTAAACATGCAAGCAAAGCACCCATACACATAAATAGCAAACAGAGAAAACATGAGATTAGGTCCATTCTACCCCTTACTAGATGGGTGACTTTGGCCAAGATAACTCATTTCTCACAGTTAACAACACTGCAGTCTCTTGGGAGGCATCAGGTCCCCTGGAGCTGGAGTTAGAGGCAGCTGTGAGCCATGTGAAACTGTTGCTGGGAACCTAACTCCAGTCCTCCGGAAGAGCAGCAGGTGCCTGCAGCTTCTGAGCTAACCTCCAGCCACGTCTTGAAAGCAGTCAGTGGATACAGAAGGTGACAGGTTGAGACATGCAACTTAAGATTGCCAGGGCCAGGCAATCTTAGGTAAACAGGGGGAGGGGACCCAAGAATAAAATCGGGAAGTTGAGGAAGTCCTGACAAAAAAGGAGATTTGAAAGAGGAGATTTCCCTCCAAAGGGCAGAGAGCTTCAGTGGCTGTTTGTGGGAGTCCACAGACACGAAACAGCTTTGGAAGGAACACCACTCAAGCCTCCCCTGAGCACTATGACACTGCCACTTCTGATGTGTCTTCCCTCTGGGCAGCTCAGCAGGAAGAAGGAAAGCTCTGAAGGGAGGTGGCTCTTTAACTCACCATAGTCCAGATGAGGGACTGAGGAGACGGACGTTGCAAGCAAATTCAGTATCTCCTCTGCCACAGGCAGACAGGCTGCCAGGAGACAGTATCATGAGTGTTGGGAGTCATCTCTGCACTGTGTGGAGCTCAGAGGGTGAATGGGATGTATGAAGAAAGCTGCGGAGGATGAGCCATGGACAGCTTCAAACTGTAATCTTGAGAGGTCCCGAGCACTGGTCCTTCTGCCATGGTTAGGGTACGTAAGTAGCCAATCAGTAAGACTAGAGATGCAAGAAATTGCTCTTCCTAGCAACTGCCTTGAAATTAACCTGACTAGCAGGGGGTGGGGAAAAGTCCTCAATAGCCTGATGTCTTGTCTAAAACTAAGGAGATCAGAAGAGAGCACGTGGGAGAAACTTTTTGAGACAGGGTCTCTCTCTATAGCCCTCAGACTCAGAGCTCTGCCTGCCTCTACCTCCTGAGCACTGGGATTAAAAGCCTGCACCACCACTCCTGGCTTGAGAACACAGATATCTCAAGGTTCCTGAAAATGCACACTAAGGGTCAAAGGTGACGTTGGGGTAGTCCCATCAGCCATGTTGACAGTTCATGCTACTTCAGATTAGAAAAGAACAGAAGAGTGACCAGGCAATGGCTCTCCTAGTCAAGACAGGATGACACACAGTCAACCATCTGGTAGAACACCCGGCCAAGTACCACTACAAGACATTCAAGTTGGCCCAGGTATATTTATCAGGTTATTTAATGCCTTTCTGTTTCTCAGAAAGGGAGGAGTAAATGAGTATAATTTCACGAGCGACACCTGAGGAAAATGAGCTCAGAGAAAAGGAGACTGCAGCTACTCTCCTAGGCTGTCACTAAGATAAAGGGGACAGTCTCCCTGACATATATGCAGTACTTACCATTTGGAGGTGGCAACTTTGTTATTAGCAAAAAGATGAACGGCAAAATGAGATATGTGACTCTCAAGCGGGATACTTGGGAGCCTGAGGCAGGAGGATTGCCATAAATTTGAGGTCGTCTTGGACTTTGTGAGTTTTGGACAGGCCTGGCTTACAAAGGCCTTTGTCACAAAACAAACCAATACAAAATAAAAAGGAACTTGCAAACTCTCAGAGACTCATGATAAAGGCGAGGGAGGGTTTGTGTGAGTCAGGACCCAGAAGGTCATATGGAATGCTGTCAGCAGGCGTCACTACCAGGGAACAAGGTGCTGCAGGTTGATACACAGTCTGTAGGTCCAGTCATGTGAGATTGCAGATGGCTGTGTGGGTACACACCCTTGGGAGTGCCACATAACCTCCTGAAATGCCCCTTTAGATGTACAATGGAGGACATGTGATTTCAGTCACTTAACATGAGAAGCCTGCCCACATGGCTGAAAACTGAACTTAGGTTTTGAGGTGCCCAAAGTTTCCAGGTCTATGTAACAACCTTGAGTCTGACACAATATAGAATTTCCTCTTCTTTAACTGAGGGTAGAGTTTAGGGGACAAGAGAACCCAGCTTCATAAACACTTGCACAAACCAGGAACCCGGAACGTCCCTCCTGGAATGAGTTTATTGGCTCCTCCCTCTTCATTGTGGAGTACGTACCACCTTGCAGTGGTACTGATCCCTTGTCCTTGTGGTGTGGAAGTTGTCCCCAGGGCCTGCATACAGGAAGACGCATGGTTGTGATTGTGATGTCTAAAAACAATATTGAGGGATTAATGGTGGCAAAAGACCTGCCTGTAGGATTAGCCGGTCACAGCCTTTAGGCCTGGGTCTGGCCCTGACCAGAGAATGTCAATGGTGCTATTGTTCATCTCAGGACCCATGGAACTGCTTGATATTTTGTTCAACACTGTCAGAACAATGGAGTCTTTAAGTGGTAAGATGCCCCAATAGAGGAGAAGAAATGACCTTTCAAACATATAAGGAGAAATTAGAGGCATGTTGCTTTTATAGACCATAGAATTAATACCTTCAGAAACCCAGATAAAAGCTCGACGAAGACCAATAATATGAGAGAGGCAGATACATTCTAATGTAGTTAGGTACAAAGAACTGATGGGGAACAAGTAATGGGCCAGAGCATCTGAAAACTGGCCTTAGAGGCCCTCTCTCATGTCAGCTGTTATGGAGAGAATCAAAGTGGAAGTGGCCAGGCATATCAACCACAACTAGATGCTAGGGACTGTCCCAGTGAAGTCGATCAAGCCCCTGACTCCTGTGGACAGTATAACTTCACAATGGCTTGGAACGGCCAGAGGGTAAAAGTCCTTATTTAGGTATTATTGGCATCGTAGTGAGCTGAGGTCTTGTACCATACCTTTGATGACTCTCTGCCTCCAGAAAGAGACCTTGAGTTCTGGAAGCTGGATTTGAGTGCAAAGTCTAGTATAACGGACACTGCTAGTTCTGCAGCTCAGATCTGCATTATGAATAATGACCATGGTGGTGATAGCAAGGAACATGGCAATAATAGTTGGAACTAAGTCAGAAGAGGGTCATGCGATTCAAATGAACCTCCCCAGAAGAACACGGATAAGGAGCGAGTGAGCAGGTGGGTTCAAAGGTGGCTGAAACAGAAGCAGATTCATGAGAAGAATGATTTAAATGACTCCACTCAAGCGTGGGTGACTGATGGCAACTTTCTTATAGAAGAACATTTAGAATAAAATGCATATAGACCATTTTCGTACATTTTTGTTCATTTGCTTCTCAACCTTAATTTTTATAATTTTATAATTATCTTAACAAACCGTGAACTTGATTGGTGTGGGAGAATTGTCTGTATTCTGTCAATCATGTTTTAAATAAATGCTGATTGGCCAGGCAGGAGGTGTAGGCGGGAAAACCAGACAGGAAGTGGAAATGATGCAAGGACAGCAGGAGAATTCTGGGAAGGAGGAAGCTGATTCCTCCCATTCCTGCCCAGATCACCGAAGCAGCAGGATGTGAGCTGCCCCACTGAAAAAGGTACTGAGCCACATGGCTAAAATAGATCAGAAAAGTGGGTTAATCAAGATGTGAGAGTTAGCTAATAAGTAGCCTGACCTAATGGGCCAATTAGCTTTATAACTTATAGAGTCCTGTGGGTGATTTTTCTCTGGGACTAAATAGCTGGGGGGGCAGGAAGGACAGAAAACCCCAACAAACAAGCCAGCCTTTCATGTTACACTTGATAAACTGACATTTATACTTTTAATGAAGTTTCATTTTGGTTCTAATACTTGGTAATTCAGGCCAATAAAAAAATACCACTTTCCAACTGAGGCAGTACTAAAAAGAGAGTAAACATACTTTGCCATTCTTAACATTCTCAAAACCCATGGCATCATGAAACTTGGCTCCCAGTAAATACAACGATCTTATTAAAAGACTCCACTGCGATTCTTTACGTATTCTCTTATATTGAGTAGTGAATGTCGTCATTCCCACAGCATATCCATACGAGCTGCATTCACATCACTTTTCTTCAAGATGATGCCTCTGATGCTGGATGAGGTTTGCAGTCTGATTGAAGGCTTTCCCACATTTGCCACATTTATATGGTTTCTCTCCCGTGTGGATCCTCTGGTGCTGAGTGAGGTGTGTGCTTCGAACAAAAGCTTTCCCGCAGGTTTTACACTTGTACGGCTTTTCTCGTGTATGGATTCTCTTGTGCTGGGTAAGGGCTGAGTGGTCACTGAAGGCTTTCTCGCAGATGTGACACGTGTAAGGCTTTTCCCCCGTGTGAATCCTCTGATGCTGTGCGAGGGCTGACTGGTCCCTGAAGGCTTTCTCACACAAGCCACATTTGTAAGGTTTCTCTCCAGTGTGAATTTTCCGATGTCGCGCAAAGGATGAGTTATCCCTGAATGCTTTGCCACACTCGCTACACTTATATGGTTTCTCCCCTGTGTGAATTCTCTGGTGTTCCGTGAGGGAAGAGTTCACCCTGAAAGCCTTTCCACACTCATTGCATTCAAAGGGTTTCTCTCCGGTGTGTATTCTCTGGTGCTGAAGAAAACTTGTGCTCTGATTGAAGGCTTTCCCGCACTCATTACATTTATAGGGTTTGTCCCCACTGTGGGTGTTCTGGTGTTTGGTAAGATGCGCTCTGCAAACAAAGGCTTTGTCACAAACGTCACACTGGAAAGGCTTCTCTCCAGTATGTATTCTCTGGTGGTGGGAAAGGTGTATGTTCCGGATAAAGGCTTTCCCGCAAACATCACATTCAAAAGGCTTCTCTCCAGTATGGATTTTCTGGTGGTAGGTAAGCGAAGAGCTCACTGAGAAGGCCTTGCCACAGTCCTTACATTCATATGGTTTCTCACCAGTGTGAATTCTTTGGTGATGGATGAGGTGTGTACTCTGGTGAAAGGCTTTCCCACATTCTCTACATTCATAGCGCTTTTCTTTAATAGGCGTTTCCTGACTTGTGCTGAGTTTTTCAGTGTGAATTTTCTGGTGTGTCTTAAAGGTGGAACTCTTAGAGAAGGCTTTTCCACACTCACTGCATTCAAACACTTTTTTGTTTGCTTGAGATCTCTGACTTCGGATGGGTAGTGAGTTCCCTGTGCAGCCCTTCTCGGATGCCTGGACTTTCTGTCCACAAAGCTTTGCTGGAGTGTCCTGCTGGGTGAGGACCACTTGCTGCAACCTGACCTCCTGACCATCCCGGAATGTCCAGTCTAGCAGGTTAGCACATTCCCAGTGAGTCCCTCTGCTGACTCTATCCTTCATTATCCATTGATTCGATTTGTTTTTAGGGGTATCTGCCCTGAGAAATCTCTTACTCGTGGTCATTGTGATCCCCCCTGAAAGATATTGAAAACAGAAACGTCACTTTTTCCCTGGTGAAACAACTTGATGGAATGAGATGAACAGCCTGCTAATAACGCTAACAAAGAAACTGCAGTTGAAGACTTAACGTGGGAATATGAAGGGAAAGAGCCAGAGGCGTGAACACAGGAGTATGGTGGAGGCTTATCTAATGCTATACCTGAGGCAGGAGTGTTTGGGAGCTTGATTTCAAAGGTTGGAATTCTGAGAACAGTATTCATTTCTTTGTCATTAAATAGATTTCATCTTTTAAAGCTCAAAAATATCTAATATAGGCCAAGTTTGATTCATGCTTGTAATCCCAACATTTGAGAGGTTGAGGCAGATGGTCCACGATGAGTTTGAGGCTAACCTGGGTTAAAAGAGTAAAGTTTGGGGGATGCCTGTGATCAGATTGTTGACTATCCCGGTTGTCAGAGAGCCTTATGCAGTGACTGATGGAGGCACATTCAGAGACTCACGGCCAAACATTGGACCAAGTTCAGGGAATCCTGATAAGGAGAGGGAGGAGGGATTGTCGGAGCTGGAGGGTCAGGAACATCACAGGAAACCCCACAGAAATGGCTAGCCTGGCTCATGGGAACTCAAAAAGTCTGAACCAACAACCAGCAAGCCTTCATGAGACCGAACTGGGCCTTCTATGTATATGTGACAGTTGTGTAGCTTGGTCTATTTGTAGGATTCCTGGCAATGGGAGCAGGGGCTGTCTCTGGTGCTTTGGTTGGCTCATGGAAATCTATTCCTCAGGCTGAAATGCCATGCTCAGCCTAAATAGAGGGGGAGGTACTTGATCTTACAGGCAGCTTGATATGCCATACTTTGTTGATGCTCACGGAAGGCATCCCCCCTTTCTTAGTGAATATGGAGGAAGGCAGATAGGGGAAGGAAGTGGGAGGATAGGAGGGAAGGGAGGCTATGGTCAGGATGTAAAATAAATAAATAAATTTTTAAAAAGATTTGGGGAATAGAGAGATGGCTTAGTGGTTAAGAGCGCTGGCTGCTTTTCCAGAAGATCCAGGTTCATTTCCCAGCACTCACATAATGACTAATATACATCTGTTACCCCAGTTTCAGGGTATCTAATCCCTTCTGGCCTTTGCATGCACCAGGTACACAAATATACACACAGGAAAACACGAGCACGCACATAAATAAATAATAAAATCTTTTGAGAGAAAGAAGATTCTGTCTCCAAAACTTAGAGAAAGAGAGAAAGAAAGAGAGAGAGCATGCATAAATTTGGGGGTGGAGGATCTAAAAAGGAGGAGGAAAACAACATGAGCAAAATAAATTGTATGAAAAAATGTAATGAATCAAAGAAGGCACACAAAAATACAAGGGGCGATATTCCAGGAGCACAATAGCTAATCCCCTGCTGTGTGTACACCTAGGGCAGAACTTCAAAATACTCAAAGTCAAACCAGAGCAAACAGCAGGAGAGTGATGCATGTCTACAGAATTGACATGTCAAAGGAGAAACCATGACAATGGGAAGTCTTTGAACTAAATGGAGCTGTCAGTACAGATACCAGCCAAGGCTTCCAAACAGGAAATATACAGATAAACTGACTATTAACATCAAGAGATTAAAAAAAGAGAAAACTAATCCAATAAAGAAGGAAACAATAAAGAAAACAAGCTATCAAGAGATTTAAAAAGCAAGAATTTAAAAACCTGATATGCCTTTAACAAGACAAGGGAGGACATGAAAGAAGCCTGTGTTACTAATGCCAGTCTCCAGCAGTGTTCCTGTGAGGTGCCTATGTGGATTTTCTTTGTGTTTCCTCCACTTAGAGTGTACGGTACTTCAAGGGTTGACGCAGCACCAGGACAGAGTTCACACAGGCTTGCAAGATAAAAACATTACCAGAGACAGAATGGCAACCATGGTGGTTTGGCTCAAGCTTCCAGGAGAGTGTAACAACATGAACGTACAAAACAAAATCTAAACGAGCCTGTATCTACAAAACACTTAGAATCATCAACACAAACTGCCTCACAGGGAAAACTTCATCATGAGCACATAATAGCTTGAGTTAGATGAGATGGCCAGCCCAGAGTCTCAGCACTGGGGAGACAGAGGCAGGAGAATCACAAATCCAAGGCCAACCAGGGCTATATAAAGAGTTCCAGACCAGCTTAAGCTATACAGCAAGACCCTACCTCAAAAAAAAAAATCAAAATTGAGCTGGGGAGTGGTGGCACACCCCTTTAATTCCAGGGCTCAGGAGGCAGAGGCAGGTGAGTTTATGAGACTCTGTGAGCTTGAGGCCAGCCTGGTCTACAGAAGTAGTTCTGGGACAGCCAGGGCTACATAATGAGATCCTACCTCAAAAAACAAACAAACAAACATAAAAAACAAAATTGGTTAATGCTGCGGGAGCGTCTTCCGCTCCGTCAGCCAATAGCCACTGAAATAGTAGCCCACTGGGGCGTGGTATATTTCTCTTTTAAAAAGAGCCGCAAGTCTTGGCTTGGGCCTCTTGGTTCCGGCTCCTGCTCCAGCGACTAGGCACCCTTCCTGACGGTTTATGGTGTATGTAAGTTTTACCCCCCAAAATAAATACCCTCTTAAAACATAATTGGTGTGGGATTGATTCGCCATTAGATTAATACTTGGAAAAGAAGAAATTAAAATGTCATCATTTGACATAATTATGTTATTTATTTATTTATTTATTTTAATGTGTATCCCAGGCTGGCCTCGAATTCCAGATCCTCTGCCTCCTTCAGCATAAACTACCAGCCTGCACCACCAGAACTGGCTGTACCTATATTCTTATAAAATGCCATATAAGAATTAATTAGGGAATGTCAAAATTACAGTATATCAATACATACATAAGTAATTAGAAAGTAATTAAAAAATGACACTCCCCAAAGATGAATTTTACATCAAAAGCATCAACACTGTAGAGTAAATACGGGTTGACAAAAGATGAGCAGGACTGTTATTCCTCAGACAATAACATTTCAAAGAAATTAGCAAAAACCTAAAAACAGTAGGAATATTCCATAGCCAAAGGAAAAGAATACTCTAAATTCCCCACTTAAACTATACATTTGGGAAAATTCTGCCCAATATCTTATCAGGAATTTTGCAGAAACTGAATGGGCAAGGCTAAAATTCTAAATGCAATAAACAGCAAGACTGGAAAACGTGTGTTGACGAGTATAAGACTCATTACAACTCCAGAGTAATTGGGAGCGTTAGAATAGCATGAGATTAGACAGAGTGCAATGATGGCTCATACACAGACTCACAGAACGGACTACAGGACCCGGAATTGACCCATATATTAGCAGCCGGAGTATGCCTGACAAGGGGAGGGGAGGGACACTCGGGGAAATATGGTCTTTTTAGTAAGTGATCCTGGTAAGTTGGAAACCCAGAGAGAAAATCAAATTGTGGGCCTAAAGATGGAAGATAAAATAATAGAGCTATGAGAGAGAATAGACTTTCATCAGTTAAGATGCCTTCAAAGGGGACACAAGGGGTGGGGAGATGACCAGGTGAGTGATCTGTAGTCTCAGCACTCCTATGGGGAGATGGGACGTGGGGACAGGAGTACTGCCCGGGACCTCGCAGGCCAACTAGGCTAGAGTATGAATACAAAAGCAGAAACAGGAGACACCCTGCCTCAAAACCAAGGAGGGAATCAAATCCTGAAAAGCTGTCCTCTGACCTCTTCCCCCACTGCCCTTCCACAATACAGTTTTAAAAAGACACAAGCAGTAGCCACAGAAAGAAAAAGAACTATAATACATCACACTGCCTTAAACATTGAAATAAACATTGAAAACTTGTGTTTATCAGACGGCAACATTGTTTAGAGTGGGAACCGAAATCCTCACTATCCAGTCCTCCAAATCCATTAGAGGAGGTCAGACAGAAAGGGAGAGAAGTCTTACAGACTCTAAGCAGTAGCATGCTTAGGCGTTTTAAGTAGATAAAGCTATAATGAGTCTCAGCGTCATCAACTGAGACACTCCGCACACCCTCCAGAGTGCCGGCACACTCCAAGGGTGTGAAAGGACGTGAGCTCCGCTTTTCTGCTGGTTGGAACAGAAGTCAGCACAAGCATTGTGGAAACTACTTCGCTAGGGACACACTGGACAAAAACGTGCACGCACGTGATTTCTATAAGCCGGAGAACTGGTCACAGCTGTCAAGCATTCCGTAAGACCTCCAAGGCAGAAGGAAACCAGACGCCACACAGCATCCCCACACTGCGACCAGTCTCTGTGGTAAATCACAGAGGGTCATGAGGGTGAGCCAGCTGCTGCCGCATGCCACGTGACTTGAAAGAGATGGCAGATAGAGACGAGTGAAGTCCTCACAAGCCCATTACATAATTTAAGAAAGGACAAAATAAATGTGTTACCATTGGATCAAAAGAAAGAGAAGGGAGGGGCTGGAGAGATGGCTCAGAGGTTAAGAGCACTGACTGCTCTTCCGCAGGTCCTGAGTTCAATTCCCAGCAACCACATGGTGGCTCACGACCATCTGTAATGAGATCTGGTGCCCTCTTCTGGCATACAAGCGTACATGGAAGGGATGTTGTATACATAATAAATAAATAAAAATCTTTAAAAAAAAAAAAAAGAAAGAGAAGGGACTGGGAGTAAGGGTTACTGGGGTCACAGTAATTTTTCTTTATATGAATGTTGGTTATATAGATATGTTCATGTTGTTAAAATTTATTGGATTATACAGTTAAAATATACATACTTTTCTATATTACACATTACTTCAAAATCAGTTTACTTAAAAAAAAATTAGAATAGGACCAGGGAGATGGATCAGTGGTAAAGGTGATTTTAAATATCAAAGGTTGTGTCTCAATACCATGCTCTATTCAAAGAAAGTTTACATTTACCTTTACAAGGGGGGGGCAGAGAATGACAGCAGTTCAAAGACCACTGGGAATGAAAAGTTCAATGTCATCTCACATGCAGAATTTAGAGATCTAGCCAGGGTGGTAGCCGAGAACACTTGTAGAGGTCAAAGGTTAACTCTGGGTGGCTTCCTCTACCCTCCAATGCCAGGGTTACAGATGTATGATGTCATGTACAGCTTTACCCAAGAGGTGGCCTTCTGAAGTCAGGTCCCTGTGTTTGCACAGCGAGCATTTACACATTAAGCCACCCCCAAGTCTGAACCTCATTAATTTTTAGTTCCTAGTAGAATGAGCTATGAGGAGGCAAGATTTGGCTGGAGAAGGCATGTTGCTATGAGTATGTCTTGTTCCTGACCCCTTTCTATTTTGTCCCTTAGCTTCCAGGCCACCATGAAGTGGAAGTTTCCTCCCCACTTCTCTATGGTGCTTCTGTCTTGCTACGGGGCCAAAAGCAATGGAGCCAGCTCACCATGGACTACAAACTCTGAAACTGAGCTGGAATAGACTTTCCTTCTGAGGTCCTTCCTTCATTTCTCTCAGTTATTTTGCCACAGCAACACAATAAGACCCAGAAAAGAAGTCCAGGAAATACTGACACAAAACAAAGCTAGTGTGGCTGAAAAGAGAAAGCTCAGTCAGCACCTTGGGGACCTGACTTCCCTTTCTGGTACCAGTGGTAGTGCGGGGAATGGGACTCACAACTGCCTGTAACTCCAGCTACAGGATGCCCTCTTCTGGTCTCTGAGAGCACTGCACCCACGTGCACTGCCATGCTACCCGACCCTGCCCATTAAAATAAAAATAAAAAAAGCCAGATGTGGTGGTACACATCACTCTGAGTTTGAGGCCAGTCTGCTCTACAGAGCAAGTTCCAGGACAGCCAGATCTACACAGAGAAACCCTGTCTTGAAAAAACCACCACCCACACCACCACCAATTACTACCACAACATTTGAAACCAAGTTAGTGGCTTTCTGGTGTACTAGGAGGAAGATGTGAGGAACCATACTGAACTTCAATGGTGGGGTTAGATCTGTTGTGGGAGTATCTTCCGCTGCCTCAGCCAATAGTCGCTGAAGCACGAGCCCACAGTTAGCCAATAGCTGCTGAAATACCAGCCCACTGGGGCGTGGTATATTTCTCTTTTAAAAAGAGACACAGATCCGGATCAGGCCCTCTTGGTTCCGGCTCCTGCTCCCGGCTCCTGCTCCGGTGACTAGGCTCCCTTCCTGACGGTTTATGGTGTATGTAAGTTTTACCCCCCAAAATAAATAACCCCTTAAAACATAACTGGTGTGGGATTGATTCGCCAATATAGATCTCTTTCTTAAACTGGGCGGCAGGATACAAATAATGCATCTTTATCACTGCTTAAACTCCTTAGGGCTGGGTACACAGGTTAGTGGTAGAGAATGTATGAGGCTCTCAGTTCAACCCCCAATATTGAAAACAGAAGTAGAACTTTTGCTGGGCAAAGTAGCACATAATTTCAGCACGTAAATGTTGAAAAGTTATGCTATTTTTATAGTCAGAGCACAAGATTCAAAATAAGTGTATTTTAAGGTCAAAAAAGAAAATATAATGCTAAGTGGAAGGTCATTATATCAGCTCTAAAAATATTCCTAATAAATTGCAATGAAGACAGAGAATAAGAGGACAAAACACAAAAGAAAATGATAAATGGGGGTGGGGATGATGGCTCAGCGGGTAAGAGTGCTTGCTGAGGTCCCATGAGACCCTGAGTTTGTATTCCTAGCACTGTGCAAAGACTGAGTGTGGTCACAAGCAGCTGTAACCCCAGCCATGGAGAGGACAGTGGCAGAGACAGGAAAATCACTGGAGCTTGTTGGCCACCAGACTAGCTGAAAAACAGCCAGCTTCAGGTTCAGTGAAAGAGCCTGCCTCAAGGGAATAAGGCAGAGAGTGATGCTCAACATCCTCCTGCTTCTGTATACGTAGGTATCTGTACACACATGCACACTTGCATACATGCACACACACACACTTGCACACACACACACACACACACAAATAAACAAAATTATAAGTGAAACTCTGCATGGTTATAAATGAATACATTCATAGATCAAACAAGAATTGAGAGTTAAAGGGTACGAGACATGGAGGCATAAACAAGGAAGGATGTATAAAAACGGCCAGGAGGCACTTGAGGTCTAGTAGTTTTCCTTGGGATGGTGCGGGAGAATTGTCTGTATTCTGTCAATCATATTTTAAATAAATGCTGATTGGCCAGGCAGGAAGTATAGGCGGGAAAACCAGACAGGAAGTAGAGGTGGAGCAAAGAGAACAGGAATATCCTGGAAAGCAGGAAGCTCCCTCCATCATTCCTGCCCAGACCACCGAAGAAGCAACATGTGAACTGACAGCTGAAAAAGGTACCAAGCCATATGGCTAACACAGACAAGAATTATGGGCTACTGTAAGATATAAGAATTAGTTAATAGGAAGCCTGAGCTAATGGGTCAATCAGCTTTTCTAACTTAGAGAGATCTCTGTGGTTGATTTTCTCTGGGGCTCTCCAGCTGTGGGAACTGGGCAGGACAGAAACCCCAACAAGCTGGCCCTCATGTTACATTGGGATGCTGCATGGTTAAAAGGAACATGGAGAAGGGAAGAAAACGCAACAGTTTTGGAGTCAGGTGGGTTTGTGCTAATCCCAACCTTCCACCCAAGAGCAGCATGAAATCAGCCCAAATCCATTATCTCCACTGGGAGGGGTCAGCTGCAGAGGGCATCCGTTAAGGATTAAATGTGTCGGCAAGCACAAAGGCCTACCCCAGACCACCCCGTGCAGCACTTAGCTCGCCGCTCTCTGTCAGCTTGTGGCCCAGAGGAGAGAAAACATTAAAAGCAAAACCATCTATCATGATGTTTTTCTTTCTTGATTAAAAATAACTGTCTAAGAATGAGAATTGGCAAAGATGCAGGCAAAGAGAAAAAGCCTTATTTCCTACTGGTGGGAGTGTAAAGTACAGCCATATGGAAATCAGGATGGAGATTTCTCAAAAAAAATTAAAAATAGAATTACCATATGACCCAGCTATCTCATGCTTGAACAGAAGAGATACCCAAAGCACCCTACATCCCACATCTCATCCATGTCTATTGGTGCTTAATTCACAATAGCCAGAGAACGGAACCAGCATAGACGTCCATCAACAGGTAACGGTAATGAAAATGTGGCACCTATACATAGTGAATTTTATGAAACCATAAAGAAAAAGGCAAATTTCAGGAACATGAAAGGAGAGAGAAAGTATTATATTATGCGAGGTAACTCAGACTCAGAAGGGAATATTACATGTTCATCCCAGCTAGTAGTGTTTCTATGTGTTGTATGGATATAGGCTATGAAACAAGAAAGAGACGGTGAGAGGGGAAGAGAGATGCTGAGAAGGGGCGGGCAATAGGACATATGCGACACAAAAGTGGAAAAGAGGTTGGGGGAGGGTAGGTGGGTATGGGGGAGGGGTCAGAGGAGGCTGGGAGAGGGTAGGTGGGTATGGGGAGGGGTCAGAGGGATGGGGAAAAGAGGGTGAGAATCAACAAAACCTTCTCAATCTTCCTAATGCTGTGACCCTTTAGTTTCTCATGTTGTGGTGAGATTATTTTTGTTGCTACTTCATAACTGTAATTTTGCTACTGTTATGAGTCATAATATAAATATCTATGTTTTCCAATGGTCTTAGGTGACCCCTGTAGAAAGGTCATTCAATCCCCAAAGGGGTCTTGACCCTTAGGTTGAGAAACATTGACCTAGAACTTCATGTATGCTCTACCACTGTGCTGTATCAGTGGTAAATTAAATATTTTTAATAACTGCAATTTTGAGTTATGCTGATTAAAGTCCATCAAAAATTGAGTCCTAGACATTGGAGGTGGGTAGATAGAAATCAACTATAAAATATAAACCTCTACCTATTTCACTGGATTGCAGTGAAAAAAATAGTAATAGGTATTAAAAGGTACTTTATAGGTCAAGTGTGGTGGCACACGTCTTTAATCCCAGCACTTGGGAGGCAAAGGCAGGTGGATTTCTATGAGTTCAAGGTTAGCCTGGTCTACATAGCAAGTTTCAGGACAGCCAGGCCTGTGTAGAGAGAGACTCTGCCTCCCTTACCCCCACCAAAGATATTTTACAGCATGTTACACACTCCAGGAAAGTGTAACGTTGCAGCATCGTAGGCAAGGCAGGGAGCTTTGTCAAACACTTCAAAGCAGCAGAAAGGCATATCCCCATCGGTGATTCCTCAGGACAAGTGACAGTCGCCGAGCTGTCACGTTCTCGCCATCCCAGGCAGCCAGTCTCACCAACAGCCACACGCTGCGCTAAGTGTGAGTAATATAGCAAAATATATGAAGGCCCTGGCCCTGCTGGCATCTGCAGCCAAGCACACAGCCTGGCACAGGGGGCAGGTGGACGTGACTTGAATATACGTTCATGTGCTTAGAGAAACGAGAGGGAAGTGAGGACATGCGTGGGGCTTTGCTGGAAAGAGGGGAGCTTCAACAAGCACAGACCTGTCTCCGGAGCCCTAGGAGACTCCTCACTAGAGACGTGCAGGCAGCTTCTGCACATCGAATTTAAGAGAGGTCACTCCAACACAGGAGTGGGGGAAGATGACTGCTAATTTTTAAAAAATTTATTTTCATTTATGTGTATGGATGTGTGTGCAGTGTGCCTATGGAGGCCAGATGAGGATGCTGGACCCCCTGGAGCTGGAGTTACGGGTAACTATGAGCTGCCCAGTGTGGGTGCTGGAGACTGAAGTCGGGTCCTCTGGAGGGGGCAGGCACTCTTACCTGCGGAGCCACCTCTCCAGCCCCAGACATCTAATTCATGTGAAACAAAGAGAGAAAAGAAACAATGGAAGGAAGGGCTCAGAGAAGTACAGACTTCCATAACAGATGCCAGTCTGGATACACATGCTGGAACAATGTGGACCAGGCCTGCCACATTTGCGAAGACCTCATTCCTCCCAGTGTCCCACATGCATGATTCTTACCAAGAACAAAGCCTTCTCGAGCATCCTCTGTCACGCATTTGTCTGCTTTCTCCAGGTGACAAAACACATCTGGGTTGGATCCCGAGAGTCCTGTTTTTGAAGGAGGAAGAAAAATTGACCTTCTCTGTTCATAATGGAGACAGGAGTCATTGTAAGGATGAGACCTGGTCCTCAGAACTTTCTGGAAATGGTGATCAGATAGGAAGGGGAGCATGTTGGCAAGTGTGGACGGAGGAGTGGTTTGGGCCTGACACAGTCTGTTCCCACACTCTCTTACTTGGGACACATCACAGCTAAGACTTCAGCAGAGCTCTGGGGGCACTAAGGGGGCAGACACATGGTAGACATGAAGGCAGTATCATCATCAGGTCCAGCTCCAATCCACTCTGCTCCTTGGCAGTCCAGGGGGCCCGGCTTACCCAGCGAGACCAGGTTGCTGTAGTTCTCCATCATCACGTCCCGGTACAGGGCCCTCTGGGCAGAGCTCAGCCGGCCCCACTCCTCCTGGGTGAAGAGCACAGCCACATCCTTGAAGGTAACCAAGTCCTGAAACAGAGAACCCTTTCTTACCGGCCAGGAGATACGGCAGGGAAACTGATCCTGGCTGTCCCAGCAGCTCATGGGAACCTTTCGTCTGCGGGAAGCTGGTGTTCAGGGAGGGACAAGCAAGGCATCTATCTCTTCAGCATCTCCTAGTGGTTGAGTTTTGTGCAGAAGGCATACTTCGTCCCCCACTTTGACACCAGTCCTAGAGAAATAGTGAGACTGTGAACTTGTTTCCTTTGCCCACAACATCTCCCGTCTAGCTCCACAGCCCTAATGTAGCGGGAGCAGTGTCGGCACAACACACACTTCCATGTGGTGATGACGGTTTAGATAAGCATACTGCACTTGCAGTAATATGGACGCATAATGCAGACAGTATTGTACAGCAGCCAACACCTGATAAGGACAGCAAACAACGTTCATACACCTATTGTGCTGTTTTAAATCATTATTTTAGAGCATACTCCTGTACATTCAAGAAATCTTTACTGTAGAACAGCATGCCATGTGTTCCCAGCAGCCACCTCACGTGTTTCATGTTTTCCACGTCTCCGGAGTACACTAGGAGGTCAGACTGAATGACTGACCCACACCATCTAGGCCAGGAGGAATATTCTCTGTGTTCACATCAAGATGAAACAGCTTCCCAATGCACTGCCCAGGACGCATCCACGTCGTTTGCTGGCAGACAACCGCTGTTTTCAATAAGTCTTACTTTTCTTTGACTGCTCATCTATCCATCCCGACACCTGTGTGAGTGTGAATGTGCGTGCGTACACACACACACACACACACACATCACGGAAGTGATCATTCTATGCTATGACACCATGTCTTCTCTGATTATAACTCCTCTCCTCCTTGGAAATTCTCTCTCGGGAATCTGAAATTTAGCGTGGAAAACAGTACCTCTCACAGTGTGGTCTTCACAATGAGCTAGCGTGCACTGAGAAAGAAGGGGCAAGTGGAAATTAAAAAAACGCCCCGTTAGTTTAAGATAGCTTAATTAAGTTTGTTACCTGTGCCCAAGGTCTCGGTACACATCAGGGAGCCAAGAAACACTGGCTGAAGTGAACCTGGGCATTGATTCCTCGAGAAGTGTTATTCATCTCAGGTGTTTAACACAGACCTGGCACATTTTACATCCCTAAGTTATGTCTGCCCAGTGGCAGCCAACATAAACAGTGTTTAACTGCTATGCCTCAGATATGATTCACTCCTCCAGTGTCCGTGTGCCTGGTGTCGGTGCAAATGTGTGGGGAGGTGGGAAATCTGTGAGAAGTGGCGCTTATATGGGAAGTGAGAAATGGGGCATGTCTCTCTGGATGGCAGGGGCTGCTATGAGCAGGTTCTTACAACACCGCCGGCTCTCTTTCTGGTTTCCTCTCCCCACACCCCTCTCTTTCCTGTCTTGTGGTGCCATTTACTACATATAATGCAGCATAGAGCCCTTGCTACACATGGCTGTCCAATCTTGAACGTTCAACCTCTAAATAAAGTGCCTTTGCTCATAAAAACAAGAGGAGAGTGAGCAGCCAGCAAGCAGGAACTGACTGGTCGTTCGCCTAACTTCTCACCTCCGGAGTGTTCCTGTCCTCCCATAACCCACTCACCTGGACCAGGGCTGGGAGGTGGCTGACAGCCATCCTTCTTCTCCGGTGAGCTCTCTGAGGACCACCAAGCACTGAGAAGGTAGCCGAGGAACTTAGCAACTGTGGGGTTCCTCAGACTAGAGGCATCGGCGCACCTGTTATGAGAGGGTTGGGTCTAAAGTCACAGGGTGTGAGCCTGAACATTCCAATCCTGGCATCCTCAGTACCACCCCAAGCAATGAGTTTTTTGGTTAGTTTCCTCCAGTTCCCTACTGATTTCGAGAGACTCTGTCCTGGCCTCGTCTGTAAGGTGACTTGCTCACCGTGCCTTTGCCCCTTCGCATCTTCCCTGTGGTCAGCGCCTCCAATCCGCCTATTCTGCATCTTAAACACTTTGACTTCCCCCGTGCAGAAAGCTTGCCCCAGCTGCAGCTCTCATTCTGTCCTCTCCCCTACAGGTATGCTTGGGAGTCTGAAGACTCTTTCCTCCTGGGACAGTTTGATCCCAGTTTGAGAGGAAAGGAGGAGGGAAAAGAGTCGACTTCTTTCTTCTGAAACGGGAAGGGAACTAAGCAAGTCGGATCTTCAGTTAGAAACCTTGCAGGCCAAACTCTTGTGTGATCTCGGGATTCTCCTTTGGGTTTGGTTAAGGGACCTGGAGTCAAAGGCAGTTTATTTGTGTGGTGTGTCTCTCTGTGTGTGCATGGGGGCTGTGGGAGAAGAGAGGGTCATTCACACAAGTCACCCTCCACCGCTTTGTCAAGTCCAGGGGCTGCACTGCAGTTGCCGGTTCTCAAGTTCCTCAGACAGGACTCAAAGCCCCACCGGGAATATACTCATCAATAGGATGCAGCAGCCTTCCTGAGTCTGTTCCTAGACACGCTAGAGGTCCTGACCCACCCTTCTACATATGTAGTCATGTTCGGATCCCTCAGTTCCACCACAAGACCATCCTGCCGCTCCTTTCTCTGTGTGGAGTCAAATCTCAGTACGCGTGTTGCAAAGTTAAGGGCATGGGATCCAAGTCCTCTAAAACAGACCACAACTCAGCCTTGCTCGGCGTCCCTTCCGCCCTTCCCCCAGACCTGACAACCGCTCTGTAGCTTGGCTCTGGACGTTGTTGATCACCGCGGGGCTGCCCTTCGAGGCGCCTCCATCGCGGCGACAGAGCATAGCCGCCACATAACAATCAGGACACAATGAGCTGGAGCCTGCTGCCTAAAGCGGAATTGCGCCTGCGCGTTGCTCCGGGACCCAGGGACCCAAATTCCCACAAATCACTGTGCTGCAACTCTAGGGTTTTGGGACTCTTTCCCAGAGGGAGAGTGGGAGGCGAAAGTGATGCTGTACGCCTGCGCAGAGCGGCTTTGTGAGTTGAACTACAGTTCCCAGAAGGCTTCGTGGAGGCACTGAACCGCAGTTCCACTGATAGCGGAGCGAGAAACATTGTGGTCCTTTGGAGGCTGCCCAGGATTTTGTTATCGCCAGGGAGCTCGACTCTGCGACCTGCGACTAAAGCCCGGGAAGTTCCAGAAACCGAGAGGCAGGGAAAAGGTTGGAAAGACTGTCAGCATCACACTTTCTGACTGGCGGACAGGCAGGGGGCGCACGGAGCCCCTCAGGTAGCGGAGCGGCCTGTCACCCAGGTGCTTGGGGATGAGAGTTGGAACGGACTGGAGGCGAAGACTCTGGAGGTCAACAAGTCTCTCTGGGGCCGCGGGGTGGAGCCTGCGAGGGTGGGGTGACATACCAGAGCCTCCCTTTAGAGACATCTAGTTGCCTTTGAATATGTAGTAGGCATTCATAGAACAACGTTCTTGTTGGCAAAATAGTAAAACAATTAAATTTAAATTTTAAACTATGACCCGAGGATTGGCAATTCAGGGACTGCTGGCCACACTTCAGGATGCAATGTCAGTGAGTCTATCCGGCGCTTTCAAGGTGTCCTTCTCTCACTTAGGGAGCAAATGGTGCCAGGCACTGTGCAGAGGGTCTGGAGAAACAGAGTGAACCAGGGAGTGACAAGACAGTCGAGCCCTGCTAGGGAGTTACAGATTTGACTTTCCTGGGAAGAGCTGCCTGCAAAGAAGTGGAGTTGGTATATTTAATGTTTAGCGAGACTAGCATCATCGCTAGGGAAAAGGGAAAGAAAACAGCTCAAAATGAACGTGCATGTGATTCTGAGGTCTTGACAGCCACGGCAGGGACATAGGATTTATTTTGTGTGTGACAGGGAAGCACTGGAAGTTTGAAGTGGACAGATGCGCATATCTGTAAACTGACCAATTTTGGGGAGAACTGATTTAGGGTGATGCTAGGGATGGTGGTAGCACAGGGTTATAGCATCTGCCGGCTTGAATTCTAGCTTTGAAAAAAAAATCAAGCGACCTCCACAGGAGCAGGTACAAGGGAACAACCGCTGAGGGAGCAGGCCCTAGCCAGAGACCTCTGTGGGTTCAGGTGCAAGGCAGGAAGCTCCGAGAGCAGGCCCAGGCCAGGGACATCTACATAAAAGGCCTGAGCCAGCGACCTCTGCTGGAGCAGACTTGAGGCAGCCACGTCCACAGGAACGGGTATAAGGAAGCGACCACCTAGGGAGCAGACATGAGTCAGCTATGTCCCTGAGAAGGCATAAGGTAGCTAGCTACCTCAATGGAAGCAGCCCCAAGCAAGCAACCTCCTTGGAGGCATGTGGACCGACCACGGGTATTGCAGAGTAACCCCCAGGAGTGCTAAATGACCTCCAGGAACACAGAGCGACTTCCAGGAACACCAAGTGACCTCTGGGATAACTGGAACCATGGCCCTGACTGCACCATGAGGAGCAACCATCTGAGCCTGGATCCACTGGCACCTGGAAGACTGGTCACCAGAGAAACAGCCCCAACAGCATCAACTAGAGGAAAAGATGGTAAGAACACTCTCAACACCACAAAGAGCAACACAACACCAATAAAAACTAGTGACCCTACAACAGCAAGACTTAAACAACCAAATATAGATGAAGCAGAAGAAAATGATCTAAGAAAAATAACTTTAGGAGAATGTTTGAGGCCCTTAAAGAGGAAATGAAAAATTCCCTCAAAGAAATGGAGAAAAAAGACAAACAAAAAATGAAAGAAATCAACAAATCCCTTAAAAAAACAATAAAAAGCAATCAAACAGATGAAAGAAACTATTCAAGACTTAAAAAACAAAATAGAGGGGGCTGGAGAGATGGCTCAGAGGTTAAGAGCATTGCCTGCTCTTCCAAAGGTCCTGAGTTCAATTCCCAGCAACCACATGGTGGCTCACAACCATCTGTAATGGGGTCTGGTGCCCTCTTCTGGCCTGCAGGCATACACATAGACAGAATATTGTATACATAATAAATAAATAAATATTTAAAAAAATAGAGACAATAAAAAACACAAATCGAGGGAATTATGAAAGCAGAAATTATGAGAAAATGACCAGGAACCATAAATACAAACATAAACAGCAGAATACAGGAGATGGAAGAGAGAATCTCAACCGCTGAAGACACGATAGAGGAAATAGACCCATCAATCAAAGAAGACATTAAATCTGACAAAAGGTTAACACAAAATATCCAGGAAATATGGAATACCATGAAAAGACCAAACCTAAGAATAATAGATATAGAAGAAGGAGAAGACAAAATAAAAAACACAGAAAATATATTTAACAAAATCACAGAAGGAAACTTTCCCAACCTAAAGAAAGATATGCATATGAAGATAAAAGAAGCTCACAGAACACCAAATAGACTGGATCAAAAAATACAAAACAAAACAAAAAACCCTCCCCTTGCCACATAATAATCAAAACACTAAACAAACAGAATAAAGAAAGAATATTAAGAGCAGCAAAGGAAAAAGGCCAAGTAACATATAAAGGCAGACCTATCAGAATTACACCTGACTTCTCAATGGTAACAAAGAAAGCCAGAAGGTCCTGGTCAAGCATTATGCAGACATTAAGAGACCATGGATACCAGCCCAGACTACTATATCCAGCAAAACTTTCAATTACCATAGATGGACAAAACAAGATATTCCATGACAGAATCATATTTAACCAATACCTAGCCACAAACCCAGCCCTACACAAAGTACTAGAAGGAAAACTCCAACCCAAGGAAATTGGCTACATCCACAAAAACACAGACAATTGATGTTCTCACAGCGACAAATGCCAAAGAAGGGAAAAACACACATAATAATAACACCAACAATGAAAACTAAAACAGGAGTTAACAATCACTGGACATTAATATCCCTTAATATAAATGGACTCAACTCACCTATAAAAAAAGACACAGGCTAACAGATTGGATATGAAAACAGAATCCATTTATCTGCTACATACAGGAAACACACCTCAACCTCAAAGACAGACACTGCCTAAGAATAAAGGGTTGGGAAAATTTTTTCAATCAAATGGATCTAAGAAACAAGCTGGTGTAGCTATACTAATGTCTACCAAAATAGGCTTCAAACTAAAATTAATCAAAAGAGACAAAGAAGTACATTTCATAGTAGTCACAGGGAAAATCCATCAAGAGGAATTCTCAATACCGAACATCTATGCCCCAAATACAAGCACACCCGCATTGGTAAAAGAAACACTTCTAAAACTTAAATCACACGTTAAACCACACACACTAAGAGTGGGAGATGTCAACACCACACTCTCATCACTGGACAGGTCTGCCAGACAGAAAATTAACAGAGAAATAAGGGAATTCATAGATGTTATGACTCAAGTGGACTTAACAGACATCTATAGAACATTCCATCCAAACGTAAAAGAATATACCTCTACTCAGCACCTCATAGAACCTTCTCAAAAACTGACACATACTAGGTAGCAAAGCAAACCTCAATAGATACAAAAAAAATTGGAATAACCCCATGTATCTTATCGGATCACCATGGCTTAAAACTAAAATCAACAGTAACACTAATTCCAGAAAGCCCACAAACACATGGAAATTAAACAATGCTCACCTGAATAATCAATAGGTCAAGGAAGAAATAAAGGAAGAAATTAAAGATTCCTAAAATTCAATGAGCACACAACATACCCAAATTTATGGGACACTATGAAAGCACTATTAAGAGGAAAGTTCATAGCACTAAATGCCTACATAAAGAAGCTGGATTTATGCCTACATGAATCCCACACTGGTGAGTTAACAGAACATTTGAAAACTCTAGAACAAAAATAAGCAAACTCACCCAGGAGGACTAGATGGAAGAAAGTAATCAAATTGAGAGCTGAAATCAACAAAATAGAAACAAAGAAAAAACACAAATAATCAATGCGACAAAGAGTTGGTTCTTCGAGAAAATCAACAAAATAGACAAACCTTTATCCAAATTTACCAAAAGGCAGAGAGAGAATATCCAAATTAACAAAATTAGAAATAAAAAGGAAGACATAACAACAGACATGGAGGAAATTCAGAGAATCATTAGGCCATATTTTGAAAACCTGTACTCCACAAAATTGGAAAACTTAAAGGAAATGGACAACTTTCTGGATGAATATCACTTACCAAATTAAATCAAGACCAGATAAGCTAATTAAATAGACCTATGACTGCTAAAGAAATAGAAACAGTCATCAAAAGTCTCCCAACCAAAGGAAGTCCAGGACCAGATGGTTTCAGTGCAGAATTCTACAAGATTTTCAAAGAAGAACTAATACCAATACTCTTCAAATTGTTCCACACAATAGAAACAGAAGAAATATTGGCAAACTTCTTTTATGAAGATACAATTACCCTGATACAAAAAACCACACAAAGACGTTACTAAGAAAGAGAATTACAGACCAATCTCACTCATGGACGTTGATGCAAAAATACCCAATAAAATACTGGCAAACCGAATCCAAGAACACATCAGAAAAATCATCCACCATGATTAAGTTGGCTTCATCCCAGAGATGTAGGGATGGTTCAACATATGAAAATCTGCCAATGTAATCTACCATATAAAAAAACTAAAAAAAAAAAAAGCCACATGATTATCTCATTAGATGCTGAAAGAGCCTTCGATAAAATACAACATCCCTTCATGCTAAAGGTCTTGGAGAGAGCAGATATATAAGGAATATACCTAAACATAATAAAGGCAATATACAGCAAGTCAACAGCTAACATCAAACTAAATGGAGAAAAAACTCAAAGCAATGCCACTAAAATCAGGTACAAGACAAGATTGTCCACTCTCTCCATATTTATTCAATATAGTTCTTGATGTTCTAGCTAGAGCAATAA